TTCCCAACTACTCCCAGTGTACACTTCTAAGAACTGCCCCTTATTTATAAATTCACAACTTCCCACTTAACCTTTTGGGAAAACATACACCCACATCCATCCCACACTTGTCTTTACACACACACACACACACACACACTCCCATACTCGCCGCCCCCTTGCATTCACAAGCACTCTCTACACACTCTCGTCTTTTCCCAAGAAAGGGCTCTGTTACAGCACAGAGGAAAGTGGAGTACCCCAGGACTCACAATGCGGCCACTGTACTGACAGGCGGAGCCTGCAGTAGGAGGAGTAGAGATATTATAAATAGAACTGAAGAGGGAAAGCTTTTCTCCCTCCGATCTCTCTGATCTTTATTCCTGGCCTTGCAGCTGCTGCAAATCCCAGACCTTGGGGCTCCTCCAACTTGGGAGGGGTGGAGGAGATGAAGGAAACAGGACAGGGCTAACCCAAAAAGGCAGACGGGTCCCTGTGCTAAAGTGGAAAGAGGGGCTGAGGTGCACGGGAGCCAACGCTCAGCTCAACCGGTAATGAAGACCACGCAGTCAGCCTGCAGTGCACCCAGAACACATATTAGAGTGGCAGCAACCACACCAGCCCTCTTTTCTTACCATAACACTCCCAGGCTGCTTTTCTTAGTTCTAATTGATTTCCTAATTAAAGCGCTAAACAAAAAAATTACCACCTCTAAATTTTATACAATTCCCTCCATAAAATGATCCAGGCACATTTCACAATGCCAGGCCAATGAGTGGTATATGCCAGGGCAATGTGCCACTATTATAACCTCCCTTGTAACTGGAGCATAAAAAAAAGTACTATCATGAATGTCTCCACTGCCTTAGTCACTTCCTAAGTATGTGAAAGCACCCAGCTAAGGAGCCTCCCGGGGGCAGGCGATTGGCTTAGCAATTAAGACGTATTGGGGTGCCTGGTTCCACTCCCAATTCTGGTTTCCAGGTAATGTGCGCCCAGGGAGACGGCAGGTGACGGCTCAAGCAGCTGAGTCCCTGCCGCCCACGTGGGAGACCTGGATTGAGTTCCCAGCTCCTGCCTACAGCCTAGTCCAGATACAGATGTTGCAGGCATCTGAGAAGCAAACCAGCGTATGAGAGATCTCTTTCTCTCCATATCTGCCTTTTAAATGATTTTTTTTTTTAATCTCTAGGAATCACAGCCCCTGAACAGGTCTGGAAAGAAATGGGCTATGTTTCTATATTGGAAAATACCTGCAAAAGAACATAAGAATACATGCAAATGACCTGCCTTGAGGACAAAAGCATGATAAAGGGAATCTTTCTATCCAAGCTGACCCTTCCCCGTGGAAGGCAGACTTCTACAAACCTCTTAAATCCTGCTTCTCAACTGTGGGGCAGGCGAGACCACGAGAACCACTAGAGGCACTTGAAATACACAGGTGTCCGGACCCTCCAGCCCAGACCTACTGAACCAGAACCTCTGTGGTAAGTCATGGGTACCCGTAGTTTCTCTCTCCTCTTTTTTTTTTTTTTTAAGATTAGTTTTGTTTATTTGGAAGGCAGAATTATAAAGAAAGAGGGGGAGAGACAGAGAGAGAAATCTTCCATCTACTGGTTCACTCACCCAGTGGCCATAACAGCCAAACCAAAGCCAAGAGCTTCTTCTGGGTCTCCCACATTGGTGCGGGGGCCCAAGCACTTGGAACATCCTCTGCTGCCTTCCCAGGTGCATTAGCAGGGAGCTGGATCAGAAATGCAGCAGTTGGGACTAGAACAGGCACCCATTTGGGATGCCAGTGCTGCAGGTGGCAGCTTAATCCGCTATGTCACAGGGCTGGCCCCAGCACTCCTACCCGCCTTTTTTTTTCCCTTAAAGTTCCCCCAGGCAGTTCTAATGCACACACATACTGAGGAAACACCGTACAGAGGCCCACATTGTGGCGTGGTGAGTTAAGCCACTTGCAATGCCAGCATCCCATACTGGAGTGATGGTTTGAATCCCCACTGCTCTGCTTCCAATCCAGCTCCTGTCACCCATATGGGAAACCAGGATAGAGTTCCTGGTTCCTGGCTTCAGCCTGGGCCAGACCTGGCTACTGAGTTCATTTGGGAGTGAACCAGTGGATAAAAGTGCAGACTCTCCTTGTCTGTTGCTCTACCCTCCACATAAATAAATCTTGGGAAAAAAAAGCCACACAAACACTGCTGGAGGCAGGAGGGAGGGTATGAAGTGGTACAGTGATTAAAGACACCACTTGAGGGGCCAGCGCTGTGGCATAGTAAGTTAGAGCCCTGGCCTGAAGCACCGGCATCTCATATGGGCGCTGGTTCTATTCCTGGCTGCTCCTCTTCCAATACAGCTCTCTGCTATGGCCTGGGAAAACAGTAGAAGATGGTCCAAGTCCTTGGGCCCCTATACCCACGTGGGAAACCTGGAAGAAGCTCCTGGCTCCTGCCTTTGGATTGGCACAGCTCCAGCCGTTGCGGCCATCTAGGGAGTGAACCAGCAGATGGAAGACCTCGCTCTCTCTCAACCTCTCTCTGTAACTCTGTCTTTAAAATAAAATAAATCTTAAAAAAAAAAAAAAAGACACCATTTGAGAACCCATATGGAGTACCTGGGCTTAAGTCTCCACTCTGCTCCCAACTCCAGCTTCTTGCTAATGCACACCCTGGGAACAGCAGGTGACAGCTCAACTACCTGGGTACTGCTGCACACGTAGGAGTCCTGGATTGAGCGCCAGGCTCTGGCCCAGCTGAAGGCATCTGGGGATGTGCTCTCACTCACTCTGCCACTCTTTCAAATAAACACATTTTACAAACTTCTTTAAAAAAAAAAACAACAACAACAACAACAACAACAACAACGAAGAGGAAGGAAGGTATGTTGGGACATTTCCTCCTCACCCCCAGGGAACCTCAACAGAATCACCATGATGCCACAGAGCCCAGAAGGGTCTCCTAGAGCAGTGCAGCTTTCAAATTCTTGGAATTTCCAAACTAGAAGTCAGGCCGGCGTTGTACAGCAGGCTATGCCGCCACTTGTACATCAGAGTACCAGTTTGAGTTCTGGCTGCTACCTCCTAACGTCCTTGGGAAAGCAGCAGAAGATGTGCCAAGTGCTTGGGCTCCTGCACCCACAGGGGAGACCTCAACGGGGTTCTGGGCTCCTGGCCTTGGCCTGGACCAGCCCCAGCCACTACAGCCATTTGGGGGGGGGGGGGTCCAGCAGACGAAGGCTCCCATCACTTGGCCTTTCAAATAAATCTTGAATAAGTAAATAAACTAGAAGGCCATAATTTAAGTGACAGAAGACCTAATATCATTTCTGTTCCCTTACAAACTTCATAGGAGAAAGCGTCCCCTCTTCTAACAGCACATTCACCTCCTGCTAAGTCAACTTCCACCTAGAAAGACAAGCATTCCCGTCACGAATATCCCTGCCCCGTTCCCTGAAAAGGCTTTCGGCTCAGAAAAGCAGCCTGGATTCCAGAGGGCACCCTACACGCACGTCACCCCAGAGGGGCACCTGAGGGACTGCAACGGCAACTGGCTGTTGTGTTTGTTTTGTTTTAAAGGAAAGGGAAATAGCTGAAGGCTTAGTTCTGGGAATCAAGAATGCTGGTTGTATTGTTCCACAGACTTTCCTGTCTGTTTTAACACTTTCAGAATTGTTTAAAAAAAAAAAAAAACTAGTTTATTAGCACTATTTGAAATGTCATTAATTTTCATTAACTTTAGATGACAAGTGCCTTTAATTATCCCTTGCTAGCTTTTTCCACCAGCGTTAACTTACAGAAAACGTCACCCCTAATTACACCTGTCTGCCCCGGGACCTCGCAAGGGAACACAAGCACCAGGACAAAAGAAATGAACCACCGGGGGCATCGGCAGAAGGCAAACAGCAAGTGCACCTTCGCCAGGCGCATGCACAGGACGCTGCCTCTGTGAACAGTCCCAGTGCTGCCAAGCGGATGGCCCACATCCACAATACGACCCTTCTTCTTCTTCTCTTAAAGATTCATTTATTTCAAAGTAAAAGTTAGAGAGTGACATCTTCCATTTACCAGTTCACTCCCCAGATGGCCAGGCCTGGGCCAAGCTGAAGCCAAAAGTTTCAGAAGCTTCATCCGGGTCTCCCAGGGGGGTGGCAGGGCCATCGATCAGAAGTGGAGCCCCTGGGACAGGAACCAGTGCCCACATAGGATGCCAGCATTGCAGGTGGTGCCTTGACCCGCTATGCCCCAACAACGCTACTTCCTAAGCCTGCCAGACCAAGTACACTCCCCGAGTCATAAGTGAGGGGATTCAAGTCACAGATAAACCAAAACCAGTGAAGATTTCATAGGACTTTAAGACCAAGAACTTCAGGCCGGCGCCGCGGCTCAATAGGCTAATCCTCCTCCTAGCGGCGCCGGCACACCGGGTTCTAGTCCCGGTCGGGGCGCCGGATTCTGTCCCGGTTGCCCCTCTTCCAGGCCAGCCCTCTGCTGTGGCCAGGGAGTGCAGTGGAGGATGGCCCAGGTGCTTGGGCCCTGCACCCCATGGGAGACCAGGAAAAGCACCTGGCTCCTGGCTCCTGCCATCGGATCAGCGCGGTGCGCCGGCTGCAGCGCGCCGGCCGCGGCGGCCATTGGAGGGTGAACCAACGGCAAAGGAAGACCTTTCTCTCTGTCTCTCTCTCTCACTGTCCACTCTGCCTGTCAAAAAATAAAAAAAAAAAAAAAATAAAAAAAAAAAAAAGACCAAGAACTTCAAATCCTAAAAATACGACTTTTCCCTCACAGATGGTGGAGCCTAAGACAGGCACCTTCAGGATAAAACTTAACAGCACCAACGTGGAAATTTCTAAGTGTTTCATGATAAATGATCGTCAAGGCTACTTGCTCCCAAGAATAAACGGCTGACCTATACTTATCCCCTCGGCCCCAACGTCCCACCGCCGCACCTGCGGCACGCACATGGGAATATGTGACCACATTTCCAGCAGACCAGTTCCCCTCTCCCAGTCTCCTTTACCTCTTGGCTTCTTCCAAATGACAAAGGTACTCGTACGCCACATTCTGCCGTCTCCTTTCATCCATCTCCTCTGCGGTGAGTCTCTCATTATCCAGGACAGCTAAAACGCGAAAGAAAGAACCTCGTGAACCCCAAGATTGGTCACCGTCCTGAGAGGTGAGAGAATGTGGCAGCCCTCAAATTGCTGCAAGTCACCCGCAAGGTCAGGGTAGCGGGAGGCTGTGTAGACAGCTAGATACGCTACAATGGCTTTCCTAAAAAAAGAACCATGGAGTTTCAATTATACTCATCTTGTCCTTTTTTCCAAATGCATAACACAAGTACGAGCATGAACTGCATTTCAGTGTAGCCTTGCAAAACACTGACTTGAAAGGCCAGCATTGTGACGCAGCAGGTTAAGCCACCGCCTGCCATGCAGGCATCCCATACCAGAGCACAGGTTAGAGTCCCAGCTGCTTTGCTTCCCATCCAGCTCCCTGCTAATGCGCCGGGGAAAGCACCGGAGCATGGCCCAAGTCCTTGGGCCCACGTGGGAGACTGGGATGGAGTCCACGCCCCTGGCTTAGGCCCGGCCTAGCCCAGCCCCGGCAGCTGCAGCCACTTGGCAAGTGAGCAGGTGGCTGGAAGTTCTTTCTCTCTGTCTCTCCCTTTCTCTATGTCATTTTGTCTTTCAAAATAAAACAAATCTTAAAAATACTGACTTGCTATTTAGGCCCAATTTTGCCTTGTCTATCCGCCAGGTCCAGCCACATCATTCCCCAGACCCTGAAGCTCTGGACCCGGCGGCAGTGACCGTGCTGAGCAGCTTACAGCCTTGGCTCACTGAAGGCCCAGCGATGAGCACTCTTGTTTTTCAGCTGGGGAAACAGAGGCTCGGTGAGTTCAGCACGCACGCACGCACGCACACCCCAAGTGGCAGTGGCCTGGGTTCTGCAGCCTGAGAGCCTGAGGTTGAAGCAATCTGCTTCCTCCACACAAGCCAGGCTGGGGAACAAACTCCCAACCGCCTGGCAAGGACTTCAAGGCCTGTCCCAGTTTTTCCGGAAGCCCTTCGCCCTCTCCCCGTGCTGCCTCCCACCACGGTGCACTGCACACCACCGAGAGGCAGCGCCCGTCACCCCTCCTCCCTCTGCAAGTCAGCCTCCTGCCCCACCCTGACCTTCAAGGCTCCCTTCCAGCGTCCCCACCTGCGCTGGGCCGTCTTCCCAGACCTCTTCTCCTCACTCCGATCACCCTGAACGCCTACTTATGCACCTTTTATCTTTACCGCACATTATCAGCGTGTACACCTGTCTCTCTGATTAAGAAAAAAAAAATCTTCGAAGGCAGGGCCGGGTCTTACTCATCTTTAATTTCACAAACGTGGCACAGTACCCCACGTATAACTGTCAGTGGGGGAAATCATCCTTTAAAACAATAACACAGCCTCCAGAGAATAAAATCGAGAACCCAGCGACTCCCCCCCACAAAGCAGCAGTCAGTATCCCGCCTACAATTTAATGTCCCAGGGATGGGCTACAGAAAATGAGGAAGTCAGAGGATTTTGGGTGGTTTTTTTTTTTCTTTCTTTTGAAATCCTTACGAGGGAACTAAAGCCCCAGCAAGCTGAAGCGACTTGCCCGGGACCGCACCTCGCGGCCAGGCGCGGGCAGGCAGGCAGCCCTCGGGGCAGCACGTTCCCGCGGAGCCGGGCAGAGCACCGGCCCCCGGCCCCCGGGGCACGCCCTGCACCGTGCTGCCACCTCACCCGCGCCGGCTCCCAATCTCGGCAGAGCCGGGCGGCGGGAGGCGCCGGGAGGGGTTCCCCCGGCCGCGGCACGGAGGCCGCCGAGGTCCTCCCCGCCGCCTCAGAGCCCGAGCAGGCGCGGGCCGGGGGCCTCGCCGTCCACCGGCCGAACCAGCGCTTCCGGGTGCGCGCGGCCCGCACCCGCCCTGCCCCACCCACCGGGGCCGAGTCCCCTCCGAGGCAGCAAGCCCGACCCCGAAGCCGAAGCCCCTGCACCTCGGAGCCCCTCACTCACAGCCATAGTGCGGCCGGGCCACGCCCAGCCCGTCAACCTCGTCCGCGGCGGACATGGCGGCCGAGCCCAGGTCTCTGCTGAGGAAGCGGTGAGACCTCGAAGGCGCGGGCGGCGACAGCTGCAGCGACTAGGGAAGTGCCCAGGGCTTTCCCCTTTTTCGAAACCCCCCCCCCGGGGCCGCGGGACCCAACCCCGCCAGGTCACCGCCCAGGGGCCAGCGGAAAGGGGGGGCGTGTCCGGTGCCCCTTCAGGGGCCCCACCCCGGGCACCGCCCCCTAGGCTTCGCCCCCTCCCCGGGAGACCGCTACGTTTTTCCTGCAGGCCGAAAAGAAGGGAGGCCGGAGTCCCGCCGGCCAATCGGGCTCGTGCTGGGTTCGGCGATTGCCGGGAAGGAGTTCCCGGGCTGCAGCCCCGCCCTGCGGGGCCGCCGCCCCACCCGCAGCTCAGGCAGCCGGACTGGTAGGGTCGGCGGCTGAGAAGTCGACGCGGTGGGCCGGCTGGCTTCCCCTGCTGGCCCAGCTAGCCTCCTTTACCCCGAGGCTCGCGGTGTTCCTGTTGGACCCACGCAGAACCCGGCGTGCTAAGTAAGGGACGCCCGGTCCCAGCCCGCGCATCTGGCCCCGGTCCCGCCCAGGTGCGCCGGCGCTCGCCGGTTCGGAACTGCGCAGTCTCTCGAGTATTTGCGATGCAGGAGCCAACACGGGAGCGCCGCCTTGGTCTGGACGCCCTTCCTTTTGTGTCCTTGCCCTTGTTCTCTGCGAGTTCCTTTTCGGGGGACTCTCGACCCCCGTCACGGACGCCCCTTTCTCTGCGCCTGGCAGCCTGCCCTTAAAATGCCGGTATTCCAAGGAATGCCATGCTCGGCCCTCTCCCACTGCCCCTGGGCCCGCTCTGGGTGAGGTTACGCTGCCTTTAAACCGTGGTGACTGCTAAACAGACGGTCAGGAAGCCGCTCGGGATTTGCAGCTGAGAAGCACTGTATCACCTGTGGGTGCCGCAGACACTTCGGGTTGCACCTGCGCCTGCCGTGGTCGCCATCGGGAGAAGTACTCGGTTCCCAGTCAGGGCAGCCCACCCACGTGCGGTCCAGGCTATTTCTGCAGCGTGTCGCCTTCGCCTGTCCCCGCTGTGATGACCCCGTGGTCGCCTCTGCCAGCCAGCGCCTCACGGCGACCAGGGCTACTTCCTAAACCAAAAATGCCCGGTGCTTCGCTTTCTTCTTTTTCACCTCGTGATTCCTTCCAGAATGTGGTCCAGGTTTCTATGTAGGCCAAACAAGCTTCTTCGCAGTCTGGCTGCAGCCTTTTCCAACCCGCCATTTACAGTTTATTCACGCTTCCTTCAAACTATTAAAGTCGACAGTTAAAAAAAACTATGAGAACAAACACCCCCGCAGAAAAAAAGGGTGTGGTCTGTTATTGTTACCGAAGTCATTTCCTTTTTCAGCTTTTGAGTTCACCTTACAATTTGTATTATTCTATTACCAATCCCGTTTCAGAAACCAAACAACTGACTTCATTAACGCAACGTCTTCAGACACCTAAATTTATGTCCGTAACAGTACATTAAAATGTATTGCGGTGTAGCAGGTAAAGCCGCTGTCTGCAACCCCGGCATCCCATATGGGTGCCGGTTCAAGTCTCAGCTGTTCCACTTTCGGAGCCAGCTGCCTACTAATGAGCCTGGGAAACCAGTGGAAGATGGCCCAAGTACTTGGGACTCTGCCATCCATATGGGAAGCTCCTTGCTCCTGGCTTTGGCCTGGCCCAGCCCTGACCATTGAGGCCATCTGGGGACAAAACAGCAGATGGAAGATCTGTCTCCTCTTTCTGTAACTCTGACTTTCAAATAAATAAATAAGTAAATCTTTTCAAATTTTAATTCCTTCAATTGTCTAGCATAGAATATTTTAAAAGTTTGGTATTCCTTATAAATCAAATATATTTACAAATATAATTAAACATAAGTTTTCTTTGGTGGCCCAATTCTATCTGTAAACTTAGTAAGGTTTCAACTCAAAACCCCGACTGTAAAATTCGTTCAATTTTACACATAAGAGTTATGGGGCAGGCGTTTTGACAGGTTGTCCCTTGGGACCCCTGCATCCTATATCACAGTACTGATTCCAGTCCCAACTACTCCACTTCCAAACCAACTTCCTGCTGATGCATTCTGGGAGGCAGGGGATGACAGCACAAGTGCTTGGGCCCAGCCACCTACACAGGAGACCTAGATGGAGCTCCTGACTGCTGGCTTCGGCCTGGCTTAGCCTTTGGGAGAGTGAACCACCAGATGGAAAGTGGATTTCTCTCTTTTGCTCTTTCATATAAATGGGGAAAAATTAAAATTATAACAATAATTAGTAAACAATGGGGAACAGGTGTGGAACATTTGGCCTCGTGGTTAAGACACCAGTTAGGATGCCTAAGTCCCACATGGGAGTGCCTGGATTGGACTCCCGGCTCCAGCTCCTGATTCCAGCTTCCTGCTAATGCACACCCTGGGAGACAGCAGGTGCTCAAGTGGTAGAATCCCTGCTACCTGTGTGGGAGCCCTGGTTAGAGTTCCCGGCTCCCAGCCTCAGACCCCCTTCCTCTCCCTGCCATTGGGGGAACTGGGGAATGAACCACCTAATGAGCATGATTGCGTGCTCTCTCTCTCTCAAAATAATAAAAAATTTAAAAAGATAAATGTTTTCTGATCAAGGACCTCCACCAAGTAAAGTGGATTTTCAGAGCCATTTTTCCACTGTGCCAACTGTCACTTCTTTGTTATTTAAAAAATGTTTTATTTATGTATTTATTTAAGATTCAGAGAGGCAGAAAAAGCTCCTATCCACTGATTCATTTTTTAAACACCTGCAATGGTCAGGTCCAAAAACGAAATCCAGGTCTTCCATGTGGGTGTCAGGAACCCAATTACTTGAGCCATCACCACTGCTTCCCAGGGTCTGCGTTAGGAGAAACCTGGAGTCAGAGCTGGGTCTATGTCCCAGGTACATATCATGACTTCAAAGCTCGTTGCCTCTGGGCCAGCACTGTGATGCATCAGGTTAAAGCCCCAGTTTGCAATGCCAGAATCTCCTAGGGTGCTGGTTCAAGTCCCGGCTGCTCCACTTCCAATCCAGCTCTCTGCTGTGGCCTGGGAAAGCAATAGAAGATGGCCCAAATCCTTGGGCCCCTGCACACGTGTAGGAGACTCGAAAGAAGCTCCAGGCTCCTGGCTTCAGATTGGCTCAGCTCCAACCATTGTGGCCATTTGGAAGTGAGCTAGTGGATGAAAGACCTCTCTCTCTATCTCTGCCTCTCTCTGTAACTGCCTCTCAAATAAGTAAAATAATTTAAAAAAAAAAAAAAGTTATAGAAGGAGGAAAGAGAGAAAGATACCTTCCATCTGCTGATTCACTCCCCAAACGGCCACAACAGCCAGGGCTGGACCAGGTTGAAGCCAGGAGCCAGGAGCTTCATCTGGGACTCCCCTGTGGGTACAAGGGGCCCAAGCACTGCTTTTCCCAGGCCATTAGCACAGGGAGCAGGATTGGAAGTGCAGCAGCCACGAGTTGAACCAGTACCCATATGGGATGCTGGCATTGCAGGCAGCAGCTTTACCTGCTACACCACAATGCCAACCCGTCACAGGATTTTAAAGCAACATCACATTGAGTGTTAGGTGTCTAGCTGATGTATAGTCACGATTATTAAGTCCGTCTTTATAATAACTGAAATTCCTCAAGACCTCAGTGCACTGTTTGGAATTTACTTCCTCATCTTATCCTCGTAATAATTCAGCAATGTAAAGACTCCTCTTATCTCTGTTTTGCACTTAAGCAAGCTGCCGTCCTAACCCGAAGCCACACAGCAAGAGGCAGAGCTGAGACTCAAATCCATGTTGACCTATTGACAAGGTCTGCATTCCTGGTGGATAAATACAAGTCAGGTGGGTGTGTGGGACAACATGAGACACCCAGCATGGCAACACTGCCTGGGACAACCACGCCTGGGTTTGAGTCTCAGCTCTGCTCCCAGTTCCAGTTTCTTGTTAATTCAGACACTGGGAGGCAACGATGTTGGTTGGCTCAAGCACTTGGGCCCCTACCACCCATGTGGGAAACCAGGAGAAAGCTCCTGGCTCCCAGTTTTAGCTCCGGCTGTTGCAGGCTTTTGGGGAGTGAAACAACAAATGAGAGCTCTTTGTCTACTTCTCTCTCTCTCTCTCTGTATTTCTGTGTCTCTGCCTCTCAAATAAATAAAACATTTTTAAAGTCCTAATAAATATGTTCTGATGCAAGTTTTTCTTTTTTTTAAGAAAATGTATTAATGTAGTTGTATTTTATTATTTTGTTTTATTTATTTATTTTTTTTTTTTGACAGGCAGAGTGGACAGTGAGAGAGAGAGACAGGGAGAAAGGTCTTCCTTTGCTGTTGGTTCACCCTTCAATGGCCGCCGCGGCCAGCGCGCTATGGCCGGCGCACCGCGCTGATCCAATAGCAGGAGCCAGGTACTTCTCCTGGTCTCCCATGGGGTGCAGGGCCCAAGCACTTGGGCCATCCTCCACTGCACTCCTGGGCCACAGCAGAGAGCTGGCCTGGAAGAGGGGCAACCGGGACAGAATCCGGCGCCCCGACTGGGACTAGAACCCGGTGTGCCGGTGCCGCAAGGCGGAGGATTAACCTAGTGAGCCGCGGCGCCGGGCTATTATTTTATTTTTGAAAGGCAGAATGGCACAGAGAAAGGGAGAAACAGAGAAATTTTCCGTCCACTGATTCTTTCCCCAAATGGCTGAAACAGCCAGATCTGGGCCAGGACAAAGTCAGGAGCCAGGACCTCCCTCCCAGTCTCCCACACGAGTGTGAGAGACCCAAGTACTTGAAGCATCATCTGCTGCCTTCCCAGGCACGTTGGCAGGGAGCTGGATCAGAAGCAGAGGAGCCAGGACTCAGGCCAGCAGTCTGATACGGGATGATGGCATTGCAAGCAACAGCTTAACCTGCTGGGCCACACAATGCCAGCCAGCAAGCTTTCTTTAAAGATAGATAGGAATGGGGACAGCATTGTGGTGTAGGGGGTAAAGCTGCCGCTGGCAACACCAGCATCCCATATAGGCGCCGGTTTGAGTCCCAGCTGTTCCACTTCT